ACAATTACCTTGAAACTTTGTAAGCCACTTGGGTTGATTGTAATGTTGTAATGCAGTGATTACTGTGTTGAGGAAAACACATATAAGTACAGTCCAGTAAAAAGCCTGATGTTTAACCACTTGTCTAACACGGATTTTCCACCGTTTGTTTTTCCTGAGAAATCTCTGCCATAAACTTTTCCTGTGCAAGGTAATATAAAAACAAAATAATAATTAGGATCTGTTCCATTTAGGAGTGTTTACATCGGACAAAGGTAGTTAACTTTTTTTATGTGGGATGGCTGTGACAGACCATGTTAAAAAGTTGCTTGAGTGTTGTTGTAGCAGCACATACTTGACTGTGCTTCTTGCTGAGCTTTAGCCCTGTCAGCTGTGGTTACTTCTTAGATGGGTGAGCACGCATAATATCATGTGTTGTTGACTATTTTTCTTTGCCTTTATTTAATTTATTGCATTCCTTTACTTTGAGCAGAAGCCTGCTAAAAAAAGGGTGAACTAGCAAGAAGTTTTGGCCAGCTGCCAGCTCTTGTTGGCATCTCTGTGAGAACAATATGTCACCCATACACATAACACAAAGGCAAGGCCAGGGCCCAGGACTTAAACCCAGATCCCTCAGACTAGAGGCTAGCACAGTAATCATCAAGCCGTCACTCCCAGGAGTGACCAATAAGGAATTTCTCCTTATAAAATCCATACGTTTTCAAGCAGAAAGGTAACAAGAAGAGAGAAAATATCAACAAGGGGATACTGCTTGATTTAACATCAAATTCTCAGAACTTGATTCATAAGCAACACATGGGGAACATTACTGAGAATTGACATTTAGATTAGATCCTGGGAGAGAGAGGGTTAAGTTATACTGTCTCTACAAACTCAGGTGCCCACACATATGGGTGTGGATAAAAATCTCCCAATTTCAGTACCCAAGGAATTTGCCACAAGCACTAACTTTTTTCCTGTGTTCAATCTGTGCCTTCTTCCTGACTGTCCTGTAAGCACAACAGAAGTCATTGCTACATCTCCATCCTCCACTCTATCAAGATTTCTTCTTCTTGACAAGTCTACATTTCCATCTTCTTCCTCTTCTTCCTCTAACATTAGATCCTCTGATGAGAAAAAAGGGTTTCCACAGAAAAAAGTACTTTTAATAAAACAATAATTACTTTTGTAGAATGAATTTAATTTCTAGATGGATGAAGAGAAGATTTTACATGGAAATATGACACAACACTTGAACTGAAGTTAAAGCAAGAATGATCTGATCACTGTAATGTTAGCTAAATTACTAAATTGATAAAAAATGTTTAAAAGATGATGTTTATTGCAAGGAGAAAGTGAATGATCAAGGACTCTAATTCAGCTGACATATTTTCCTAAGTATACAAAATTATAAAAATACGAAAGAGATTTTACCTGCTTTACTAATCCAATCTATATAACCATGCAGATGCCTCTCCATCTTTTGTGTTCTACGCACTTTGAGAAAAGCCCTACGATTTTCAACTCTTTCTCTCTCTTTAGCAAATTCACTGAAAAGCATCAGGGAAAAAAGAATAAAATCTTGATTATTTGATGTTTTCTTTTGACAGTTATAGACCACCAACTGTACAACCCCATGTTAACTGTTGCTTAAACAAGTTACATCAATTGTATAGAAGGGTGAGAGCCATAAATTTAAGGAACCTACAGACAAGAGCTTTACAAGGAGGTCACCATGGCAACCAAGCCACAGCCCACCTCTAGGCATCTGACAATTCAACACAGAGAAGCCAGTGTGTGGAATGGAAACTTACCCAAAAGATAAGAGGCGGAGAGGAGGGAGAGAAGCAAAACAAGTAAACCAAAGTAAGCAAGGTGTATGGTGCAAGTACCTGGTGAAATCATGTGTCTAGCAAACTTATCATCTGATCTCAAAATATTGTCAGTCTTTGTAATGAGTTTTAAAATCTCATTTACAAAGGATTTTATTTCAAGCTCTAAAATGTGCATTTCTTTCAAAATCTTTATAACTGGAATTTACTCTTTTTAGTCTGTGAGTGATAAAAGTCGGTGTATAATACTTCTATCGCTTAAGAATATTGCAAACTAGAATAACTCAAGAAACATTTCCTGACATTTGCAATACCCCGAAATAAGTAATAATCAATAACTAGTAATTATCAATAATGGGAATTCTCTAGCAAAGGCTGTTTTAGTATGGAACATTCAAACAGGGGTCAAGGCATGATAGACAGATGTATTGTTGAAGGACTGTCGAAAACAAAGTTATTACTTAAGAATAAAAGACACTTACCCGCTAAGAACACCAAGAACCAAGTTGAGCATAAAAAAAGATCCTATTATAACAAGGGAATAATAATATATCCAAAATGCGTAACCATGTCTATCATAGGCATAGAATGTCTGTAAAAAAGAATAAAATAAACAAACAAAAGGAGCGAATCAATAACATTCAAACAGTAAGAATATGATTATGCACAATTTGTTTCTCTCTATCTTCAATAATTATTTCTACTTAATATTTATGAAATTTAACACCCTTTGACATCTCCAATTAAACCCACCACCCTCCTACAACCTGTTTTATTCTTGATTTGACTTGCTCTTTCTTGCCACTGTGCACGAACAAGAGCCTTCTTCCCATGCTCATCAGACCATAAGCCCTTCACACCCTAACATCAGTATACAAATTCTCCATACTATTCTCCATATATTTCCAAAAGAGCTGACAAGGAGAATTTGTTTCACAATCAAGAGCTGCTTTAGTTGGTGATCATCTCCTCTTTTCTCATGACTTTGATGTTTGATTCAGGGGTGACATTGTAAAGAGAAATTAGATGCCAGTCACTCTTAGGGGATAAATGTTTAATCCTTCACACCCTAACATCACTATGCAAGTTATTCCCACTGTTCTCAAGACATCTCCTATGCTACTTACAAGGAGAATTTGTGTAACAATCAATAGCTTCTTGAGTTTGCAATCATTTCTTTTATTCTCATGACCTTAATAGCTGATTCAGGGAATGATACTGTTGGGAGAAATTAGATACCTATCACTCTTAAGGTGTAAAAGGTTAAGCCCGCAGATGTTGCACGAACCCTCCAGAATGACTTTCAGCCAAAGTGCTCATTTCAAAGATTAACCACGTGGCTAGCCTCATGTACGATGATTTGGTTTTATTAAGTTGAATTGAATTGATAATGTAAATTTGCCTTCCCAAAGAGTTTCTAAAGCTTTTAACCCTGTAATTTATTTCTTCTTTTCCAGCTTTTAAGACTTTAAGACAGCTTAACCTTGAAGCCCTGAATTGACATGTTCAGGTCATATCATGAGATCTGATAAATAAAGCACTAGAACCAATAAAAAAAAACTAACATACCCAATACATTACATCTGTCCAACCCTCATTGGTAATTACTTGAAACACTGTTAGACATCCAGCAAATATATTGTCAAATGACGTGATTCCATTATTTGGTCCTTCCCAGTATTCTTGACACTTTTGAGAATCAGGACAAATTACTCCCTTGCCATCTACATCACAAATTTGTGGGTCATCAGCATTATCGATCTGCCAGACACCTGTGTTTTTTAAAAAGGTGACAAGTGTGAGTGCATCTGCATTTAATTGCCAAGAAATCACAGAGTTGAAATCTTGAATTCATTAAATATCAAAACCAAGTGCACTACATTAAAACTGCAACAATTTTTGTAACCCTTTCCATCCCAAGATCTCAATGGTAATTCTCCTTACTGCTGACCTTACATTTCTAATAACATTAGTTTTGAGACTTTGGTATTGAGTCAAACACTATACCCTAGTTATAATTTTTTTCCTTTAACTGTTTCCACCCTATCATCAGTACCCTTATTCTTCATAATATTCTCTATACATTTCCTAAGGTGCTGCCTAGGAGAATTTGTCTACTTAGTAACAATCAAAAATGTCATAAGTTGGTGATCATTTTCTTTGCCCTCATGACCTTAATGTGTAATTCAGGGGTGACCTTGTGAGGAAAAATTAATAAACATAGACATGCAAAAATTTCAGCATGCTCATGAGAGAGCATGTTAAATATCCCAGAAAGTTTAAAGAGCTGAAATAAAGCACAAAACATTGAAATAAAACTGATTGATCCTATAGAAAGCAACAGCAAAGAGGTATTTGATAGCAGTGGGACAGCAATATTTGATCAAATTGACAAAAACATGAAGGATAAACCACCTTGCTCACCTGAAACATTTTTATGGCACACATAGTGAAATTTTCCAACAAGAAATTCTAATCCTATGATTGCATAAATTACGATTACAAATCCTACGAGTAAACAAATTTGCAGAAGTGGTGCCATTGCACACATGATGGACTTCATAACTACTTGAAGGCCTGTTGAGAACAAGAAACATATCATTACCATGTATTGTGATGCTTTGATGAATATTTACCCCCTCACTCCCAAGATCTCATTAGTACCTCTCCTTACTGTATGTCATACAATTCTTGTGATTTTAGCTTTGAGAATTTGGTATTGGATCAACTAATATTCCCCTTGTGGACATTTTTCTTTAGTCTCATCACTTGTCTGCTTGATATTTTTTTGACATTATAAGGAGAAATTCTGTGTTGGTCACTCATGTTATTAAAGGTTTAATCAATTGGTGGATAAGAAATAGATAATCTGGCCTTATGGTTAGTGCAATGAATTTTAGGTTAGGAGGTCTGAGTTGAAGACCTGGCCAGGTCACTGCATTGAGTTTTTAAGTAAGACACTTAACTCAGAGAGTACCTCTCCACTTAGGAGTAAAAACCATTACTGGCAGAGTATGCAATCAAGCTCAGTGGCTCATCGGGCTGGAGATTATTCTAGTTTGCATGGCAAGAAGTGACCATAACCCCTTGAGGGGATTCTAGTCCATGGAAGGTTACCCGCTAGAACTATATCAGGTCACTTGGCAGTTAACCAGCACTGTCTTGCCCTTAATTAAGCACAACACAATAGCCTGGCCAGGTTTTGCATTTTATACCTCTGTGACTTAAGCCTAGCATATTAAGTGTTAGGGCACCCCATCTCCTACAAAATCTGGGTAAAATTCTGGGAAGCTGCAGTCCTGACTATATAGAAAGTTTACATTTTAACCTCTCATTAGTAAACCTCTCTTATTGGAAGAGCACACTTTCCTAGTCCCTTGTGAAATGGCTTTAGGTTAAGGTTTAACTATAATTACATCAGTGTCAGCTGTTGGGTATCTAAATTTTGGAACTTATCATTTGTGCTTCTAATATAAAGCCAAATAAAATATTTTAAAATAGAGGATGAAAGGGATTTTTGTGTGATGTGGAATTAAGCATTTTTGATTTTCATGATCTGTAAAAATATGAAATTAAAAACCTCATGAACTATAAATTTTTTTGCTTTTGTGATACATGAACTGTAAAATTTTTTATCCGATTTTTTGTGGTGTCATTTTTACTTTTTGATGTGTGTGAGATGTATGCAGGACCCCCTTTTACCCTCCCTCATGACTGAATGACTGTTTCTTTACAAGCTTGATATCCATGAATGTTTTTCCTGCCTTTTGTTCTGTTACAATAAGTGTTAGTTTAATACACTTCTACTCAAAGCTGTGAACAATTTACTTTTGGTAGAAATATTGATACATCCTGTTGAGAATGAAACAGTACAGTGTTCAATAATTTTATGAGAGCTGAAAAATTCTCAGTCAAAAAACAAACAGAGTCATTCCCTCTTCTCAAACAGCTTGGTTTAAAAAGATCCTTCGAAGAATTCTACCAAATAATAAATGGCTGCAACAGTTTCCAATTCTGTCTGGTATTTTCCGATATTCACACAACGTATGTTTTTTCCGGTGTAAATCTTTTGTACGTCAATGTTCGCTTGTGAGCAAGTTAAAACAAAATTTTAGAAAAACAACGAAACAGAAAAACAGCATAACTAAAAAAAATCACCTTTGGAAAAATCAGTACTAACCTGTCATAGGGTATACACTCACAACAACTTATTGAATTGTTTATTGTAAAGTCGAACAACCGAAAGTCCATAACAGTAGATAAAAAGAACTGTGTATTCATCTCCCACATATTGCAACGCTTTAAAAAAATACCCCCAAAAATTTTAGCAATGTATACAATCGTTACATTTTCAGTGAAAGTTTGGTAGCCATGTTAGTGCGATGTGAATCTCCGCTGTACAAGTGCTGTTTCTGATCAGCCCCAGGGTCTTTCGCGTTTCTTTAAAATGATGCTTGCATCGCTTGCATGCCATCACACTGTGGGAGGTTTTATAGGACTTTGCGTCGATATTTTCGCCATTTGTTTCTCGATCCAAGGCATCGAACAAGGAATGTCGACACTATGAATTCAATTTTACTTCAATGGAATTGGAAAAGCTTGGTAAAAACTCGAAAAGAGATTTAATATCCCGCTGCGAATAACCGTGGTAAGTACTTCTGTTGTACTTTTTGTTTTGGGTAATGTGTTGTTCATTTCTAGCCGTTAAAAGCAATTTTGGTGAATATGCCATCTTGTCTGCTTCAATTTAAATAAATAAAAGGCATATGTTTATCTATTTAACCTTAATTTATAGCTTTTGCACATATGATTCAACAAAATTTCCCTGTCACGCTTGTGCATACATGGAAGGTGCGCTAATGCAGTTAGACTGTTATCTTTGAAAGCCATATTGGAACTGAAATTTTAAACATTTTCGGGATAGTAATCAGTTTTTAAGTTATTCGTGTATGAAAATAACTTAAAGGTCAAAAGGCGAAAGAGATACTAAATAAGAAGGTATTGATAATAACATAGGCCATACAGAAGCGATTTTAAATGAATGTGACCCGCAAATTGGCTAACTCATCGCTTGGACAGTTCTATTCTCACGGGAATTTTTACTGAAAAAAAAAAAAATAAAAGTCGGGTGAAAGGGGGAGATATTTTCTAGCCCGCCATAGCTTGGATAAAACATGGTTGAGTCACAGTTTAATAATGGTTTTTAGTTGTCGTTTTACTGTTTACCAGTGAAATATCTCAACCGAAAATTAGTGTTAAACGAAGAGTAACTCAGAAATAGCCGTCCTGAATTTTCTCGTCATTAGTTAGTTTACTGCAAACTTTTGAATAAAATTTACCGAAAATTTCAGCTTTAGAAATTTCTTAAACTTTCAAGATTTATGGTTCAGCTGAAAATTTATTTTAATTTGCTAATTGGTATAAGTTGCGTGACCAACAGATTCTTCTAGAATCATCAGTAAATGTAAAATTAACAGAACTAATGCAGCTCAGAGTTGATTTACTACAGTAGCAAGATAAGAAAAATTTGGTAATAAGGGCACAAATCTGTGTTAGACTTACTTGGAATGCCTGATACAAGTTTCAGTGGCCGCAGCACTCTGGCAGCTCTCAGGGCCTTCAGCATTCCAGCTTCGAACACTCTTAGTTGTGGCAAGCTCAAAAGGCTGAAAATAGAAATCAAATGAATAAAGTTATAATATACAGTGCAAAGCAATCTGAGTTAGAGGCACTGATGAATGATGTTACATTAGCCATTCTAACTTGCTTTAACTAACTAGGTGACTGATCGTTTTCTCAAAATTACACAGTAGATAAGCTATGTGACTAGTTTTATTTAAAAACATGTTTTGAATCATAGGAACTCTTGTTTCCTCATAGGAATCACTTAAAAAACCATTGTTGGCTCAAAGCACTACAATTTCCTTGAAGCTTTTACCTCCAAGAAGTGATAAACATGTTATATCTCCCTATAATATCCATACCATATCCAGGAAACATGTAACGAGAATACTAACACTTACCAAGTAGAAGTTTTTATCTTGATCTAGAACCAAATTATTGTAATTGATTTACAGGGAAATGTTTAGGAACTAGAGAAGAGAATTATCTATCACATCTTTGGAGCTAATGGTTTCAAGATAATTGCTAGGAATTTAGAGAAAATTTTCAAGTCTTTCTCTGAAGCTGCACATTTCCTAGTGAATTTAATTACAGATTATCTCTTTGTCAAACATTCCCTACATGTTGCCTGTACATAGTTTGAACTTATTGTATCTGCAATCAGTCACTTGTGTCTTTTATAGATCACATCCACCAATCTGTAACTGGCAAACCCCTCTCTTTGTAAGATATAATGAAGCAATTTTACATGTGACTGTTAATGATTTTGTATGGTGAAAATAAGACCTTCTTTTCAAGCCTTATTTATACACTACTGCTTAAGCAGTATTCAGTACTGCGAAGATCGCTTTCATATTCATTTCTTAAACTGCAGTTCAATTATATATGATTTTCATATTTTCACAATCACAATAACTGGTGTTAGTGACTGAGCACAATCTTAAGACAGCCCCAAAGTGGTCACTTAACAGAAGAAATTGTTTAAGGAAAAATCAGTACAAAGAGCCAAAGACTGATTGCCTCCAACAGTCGTCGAAGAGCTATTTATTGTCTTGTTAATTTGATTTTGTACTCTAGCCTAGTAGTCTACCCAGCCGGAGCCTATCCCAGTTCCCTCAGCGTGAAACAATTAGGAGTATTACAACTCCCCCCAGGATGGGATGTTAGTCCATCGCAAGGTTATCCCCCAGCATTTCATCTGGCTTTCTGGACAGTTACTCCAACACATTGCCCCAGCAAGGTCTTGAACCTAGATCTCTGGACCCAGAGTTCAGTGTACTGACTATTGGACTACTGCTTATCTACCTTAACCCTTAAAATCCCAGAAGTGACTAACATGTAACTTATCCCTATGATATCCATACATTTCTAGCCAACAGTTGATGAGAATACTAAAACTTATCAGGAAGAAGTTTTTATCTTGACCTTACACCAAATTCTCGTATCTAAATTACAAGGAATTGTGTAGCAACAAGAGGAGATAATAAACAATCAGATCTTGGGAGTTAAAGGGTTAAAAAGTAAGCAAATATTCTAAGTTTTTTTTAAGAAAAATTCTAAATCAGTCACTAAATCAATCATGTTGGTTCACATCAAGATGTTGTTACAAATTGTGTAGACTAACTGTTGTAACAAAATGCTGCAGCCCCTATTACAAAATGCTTGCTTGCCTTCAGTACAAAATGTGTGGTGATAACAAGATGTGTCATTATTACTATAATGCTGCAGAACAGTTCATTTAGCAGCTTTCCATGTGATTTTTCCTTTTTTTTCTCTCCTTTTCTTGTTGCTATCCTCTATCTAGCATGTAAAAGGATTTTAATTGCAACACATGTATTGTGATCAAATTGATATATTGTCAGAGACTGTCAATAACTATTTTTTGATGGCTCATTTTGAATTTACTGCTGATTTATCGCTCAGCTTAAAACCAATTGTTAAGTGTCAGCCTTGATAGTCCTTCTAAAAAAAAAGTGGGCTGTTGCGGGAAACCTTGTGTAACAATTTTCTTTCACTCACAATATTCAAAGACCAAAACTGCATTTAGCAACTTTATGAGACATTCTTCATAATTATTGCATATTTGTTGATGATGTTTAAAAAAAATTATGGCTATTAAAACTATTGCTGGTGAATTACCAACTTAACTGGAAGTTGCTATAACAACCTGAAATTAAAAATATAGGTTTTCACTTGCTTTCACAAGAGTGCAGGAAGAAAATTTATGGATCTTATTTGTTTCTTGCTCTCAATTTGATGGTAGGTTGAATTTTACAATTTGGCTGATTGTTTGTCTAAGCAAGCTTTGGCACCGAGCGGAAACTTTTTTTTGAGGAAAGAAAACACAGATTTCCAATTTATATCAGCATTTGTCTTTGTAAAAAGAAATGTCCAATATTTCCCTCATCACATCAGAGATGTTTTCTTATCTTGTATCAAGTGTAGAACTGGATTGAGATGTGAACTCGCATTCTTCAGCAGAGCCAAGAAGAAAAAATGATGGCATGATTTGCATGTATGAATGTTTCATTTCCTTGCATGAGCGATCATCATTACCACAAACACCTTACTTTCGCTTGTGAAAATAACAGACAACACTTGTTTAAGCAAATTGCAGTATGTTATCGTGTTTCTTTCACCTTTCAAGTAAGTTTAACAAACAAAAACTTGTTCAAGATCTTGAACACTGTAACACAGATATTTTAGGTGATAGAATCATCTTTCTTGAAACGATTATTTAGAATGTGTCAATCGAGGGAAAAGTTAAATTACTTTGATTCGTAAGCCTTCATTATTCGCCGAAACAATTACAACTTCGGAGATGTTGGCATTTTCCTTAAGACGGAAAACTAGCAGTTATTTGTTTATTGTCTTTTCTGTAACCTCAATTATTAGCATGCAAATGCAAACTAAGAAAAGTACGCGTCTTTGTGAAGGGTCTTATTAAGTCGATGTGACATATCTCCGCGTAAAATAGTTTTGTTATGTAAATAGAGAAACAGTCGACCTTCTGCCATAATGTTTGTAAAACATAGTTTTTATTTGCATTCGCTTCTCAGTCTCGTTTAGTGAATTACCAGAGAAAGGCGTAGTTTGGCGATAAAATGGCAATTTTTCGGGGTAACCCAAGGAGATTTTGACAGGTGTAGTGCCGAAACTGCGTCCCTGGCAAGTTCCCCGCAGCTTTGAATAATTTATTACCCGTTCTGCAAACAATTGGTTTGGGAATGAGAGAACAGAGAAACATGAAGTCTTTGGCCGCAGGAAACGGAAATATCAGTTTGCCTCTTGGCTTTTGAAAGGAAGCTTCAATTAAAATTTCACGTTTGACAGCCAGCTTAACCGACTAGTAAAAATATATAGAGGAAGTAGTTCCATTTAGAGCGAGATTCTGACCAAAGTCTTAATTTTCTAATTTCAATTGCGCTTTATCCGACGCTTTATTTACTCCGCAAAAGTTTTTAAAACTATCCGGTTATTTGTACTCAACATCTCCCTATCATTTTCTTGTCTTTCTTTTCTGCGACGATCTTTGTTACCATAGATACTACGTGGGAAATTTCACTTGTCGAAAAGTATTCTCGTATGAGTCATGTTGAATGCGTAGGCGAGGAGTTATGTCATGTTAAACTTAAGTCATTGTATCTGTTAACGAGAAATTCCGGGTTGAAATGATATTTGGTGATAATTTGACTGCAGTGCACGGAAAACTTTGTGAAAACTGCGCGCTATCTTCTCGCACGAGATGACAACTGTGAGCTTAGCTCTTCGATACTTTCTGATTTGAATTTTATTTTCAAATCCCGCGTAGAGTTATTCCTTGCTTTATTTGATATTGCTGTTTAATTGAGGGTCTACTCAATACCTGCACCGGGTCGGAGTTGTGTACAGAGCGTTTTAATACGTGATTTAACAATTTATTTCGATTTTGAGCAAATAGCCGGTTCTTCGTGTAATGGATGTGCTAGCACTTGTGTTTTGACTTTTTATAACATGACTATTTACTCTAGCGACGCTAAATAATTTAACGGCGATGAGTTTTGGCGTGGAGGAATTGTTGCGCTGCGGAATGCCAGCGTTAGTCCGTGTCATTTGAAATCCAGCAGTAAAAAAGGGATCTGTCGAGGATAATAGCGAATAGGGCAATTAAAGAAATTCCGCTTTTAATCGTAGATACATTTTAGCAGGATTTAAGATCGCGTGAAGTATTGAAATATCGAAATCTATTACCCGCTAGGACGAGCGGCGAAACGATAATCGCCTAATGGAAACACAATTTCCTCCTGTAAAAGTTGTCTGACGCAGACAATCAAAGCTAAAAAGAATAGAAGCAACTTTTTACAACAGTGTTGCCATGAGGTCGTCTGAAATAGACAGGACCGCTAGCGTGACCAAACTGGGGGCTGCTTTTGTTAGTGTGATTCGCTTGAGCGAGTATTCTGTTCAGTTAAAATTCGACCATTTTACGTTTCGCCAACTCGCGCAAGTTGTCCGAGTTCAATCGCCTAGTTTAGTGTAACTTTAAGCGCAACCAATCGGTATGAAGTGTATAAAGTAACGATCCGCTAAGCATGTTTAGTTTTCGTGTGTATAGTTCCTAGAATTGTTCTGGTCCACGTTCAGTCGTCAAGTTGAAATATGCCGATGCGAATTTCGCTTCCGTTAACCCACAGTGTATATTTCAAGCTCACTCTTTCCGCGAAACCTGATATATTGCGGGCTGGGAAACTTCTTTCCTAAAAAATAGACGACTATCTTCTCACCACAGATTTACAGTACAGCAGCAAAAGCTTGTTTAAATATTGAAATTCACGAGTGAAAATTGCATCTACATACATGGCTGAATAAAAAAATCCTAGCATTATTCAGCATAGGTATAAACACGTTTACCCTTGTATACATCATCATGACATACCCTGTTACAACGACGACAAAATCCAAGATATTCCATCCGTTCCGTAGATACGAGTCAGTGTGTAATATAAACCCAAGAGCTATAACTTTTAATAGAGCTTCTAGGCAAAATATTGCCAATAAATATATTTCGGCTTGTTCCTAGGGAAGAACAGGAAAAATAATAAAGTGAGAGAATGACTGAATAACTTTCGTACGACAAGAGCAGCAGCGGCGAACAGTTCTGAGTTCTGCTGTTATTTAGAGAAAATATCGGTAAAGATGTGTACTTACTAGTTTTCTGTCAAGATCGGACTTGTCTTCCTTCGGCAGTGGAGTGTTAGCGGCGAGGAGGATGCAATTGACAAAGATGGTCAATAAAATGAAATATTCAAAAGGCTTGTCTTCAGTTAAGGAATATATGATACGAACATAAACTCACAGAAAAGCTAAAATGAACATAAAAAAATCAATTCACACGGAGCTATACCACCAACTCAGTGAAAATTGTCCAGGAAAAAATTCAAGAAAATTTCACAACACTAGACATTGACAGGGCCACAGCCAACACGCACGCTCCTCTCGTGCAATAGACGACAACAAACTAACAGACAACGCCAAGGCCTAGAAAAGATTTTGTACAAAGAACGCTTTCACGCATCAAAGGATACTTTGCTCTCGACGATCGTGCGGCAAACTTTTCGAATGATATTGTCCTTTGAGAAGATAAAGAGTGATCGGTTTGCACATACGATATTCGTCGCTTCAGTACCAGCTTGCATCGAAGACTTACGCGAAGCGTTCGCCGAGTTGGCCATACGCGTTTTGTAGAAGTCCTCTGACGGCACTGAGGACGGCCTTCGATTATCTGCCATTTTTCTTGATTTAGGCTGTTTTCAAGCGTCATTCATGACTGTTTTGATGCGCTCATGCGACACGAAAAATCGTTCCTAGCCATTGAATTACTAGCCGCCTTGAAGCGACTCAATCATACACGGGCTTTTGGGTTTCCTTCTTGCCTTGACACCATATGCTAATTAGAAGCCGAGTCTATAATCAAGTGGCCTATCAAATGAGGCCGACTCAGGCAGGTCACGTGACTTTACTGGTACTGGTTTGGGTGTGAAAAAAAAAAAAGCTCTCATTGCAAATCCAACTCGAACACACCTGCTACAAGTTTCCAAATCTCTGCCAAGTACCATGTTTCGTAGCAGCAGCCACGAAAAGAGTCCTTTTGTTTCGGTCTGTTAGACTTCCTTTGATGAAATAATCTTTTGTATGCATTATAAATACTGTTTCCAGGAGAATGGGCAACCCTGCATAAAATGACGTCCCGTGCTTGTTACAGTGGGTGGAATTTCAACAAATCTACACGTACCCTTTTTCTTTTCTTTTATATTTTTATTCTGGTCACATTTTCAGCCCATCGGCATCAAACTACAAGTATTAAGTACATTGCGTTTAAGAGGAGTTTGTTTATCATCAGGGATATACACATCAACGATTCTTTTAAACGTTTTTAAAACTCCTCAAAGATCATTCGCTTGCCTCGCTCTTGAAAGTTTTTTTTTTCTCTTTGTGGATACTGTTGCAAAATACGGAAAAACAAATACTACCGTTCGATTTATAAGTACCTTTCTTCAACAATTTTTCAATGATACATATTGAATATTTTTCTCTTGAAAGATCTTCCCCTGGTGATACAGTATTCCTATTTCAACCCAGAGTGATTCCTGCCGATGCTCGTGTTTTTTGTTCGATGCTGGTGCTTAGTAACTTAAGGTATTCTAGTTAAGGCTGGAGTAGGATAGGAGAAAGATATGCTACTCATATTGACTTAAAAAAAAACATCAACAAGTCCCTTGATTCCTAATTCCTCCTCATTATACTCGGCAAGCAGGTGATGCGGCGAGAACTTCACGCCAGCGCTTAATTTTACTGCGGCAAAACTGATCAAAAATTCTTCCGCGGAGCCTGGCCTGATCAAAACTGTGCCGAGAATCGTAGAAAAAGAAACAAGATTGTTTAGCGACGAGGATTTCCATCGCCGCACTGATATATTTTGTTCGACTTAACTGAGTGAAGCGTCTCTCCAAGTCGTGCAATATTTATGTTTTCACAACATGATAAGGCTTGGTTGTTTTAATCGAATTACTTTTGGAATCCTCGAGGCAGTTCTACGTGTTTGGAGAATTAGGCAATTTTTCTGTCGATGCGCGCTCTTTTTTTTTTGAGTCCAAGGATCTACGTCCGGTCATAATTGAAGTGACAACTCTGCATTAGGATGTCTCTGTTTAATTCATCTCTCTCCTGTCTTACTTTAATTTAACCGATATGAATTATGAATACGCATCTTGACAGCTGTTATTCTACTAACTTACAAGCGAAATTCTTATGGTTAACTTGCGCCTTCACTTCCGAACGCTCTTCGCGGGTGAGTCTTATCGAGAATGGGAACCGGATACTCAATTACAAACGCTGTCTTCTCGGCATCATTATTCAATCCGAACTGGAAACAATGAGCGTTTATCAAAAACGCGACGCGCAAGAAAAATATTCATGGTAACCGCTGAGTATAACAAAAATAGATTGTCGCTAGGCTGATTTTTGATGAAGCGAACGCTCTTTGCCATGACATCGTGTTCTCGTTGCTTCGTGAGTGTCATACTGCCAAGTTTAAATTAGACTAGATACTTTTGATGGCCTTTATTCTCCTCTCGATTTCATTACGCAGCTTGAATTAGTATTTCAACAATTATTTGTTATTTGATGGGCGCATTTATTTAACTTTTTACTCGCTGCGCTATTTATTTCGTGAGCTGTTAACTCATATTCTTCGCTGCAAGTGAAATGTTTGATGCGCTTCAGCCAATAGGGGAAAATATATATTTATTTCTTTGACCTCTCACTCTGAATGTGCTGTAAATTGCTTTTATAATAGTTCTCTGTGGCGTGTTTTTTTTATTTTAATATTTTGATAAATAGATTGTGAAAGAAATTGGCTGTAACACGGAGATGTGTAACAAACGGGAATTGGTTTCATCTTAGAGCTTAGCCATGACAATGCATTTCACGACTTTGCTTTTCTTTTTACCATCGCCAGTCTCTCGTATTTTCCCCACCTGAGAGTACATAACCTCAAACTGTAATCAAAACAAAATTAAATGAACAAGTCACTAAAAGAAATCATTGAAAACTTTAGCTCTAAATTCCCTCAGGGAAAATTTAACTCCAATTAGCAAGATCACTTTGGATGTGATTTTGAAATTTCTGGAAACGATGTAGTCATGGCATTTGAAACTCAAAGAGTGGTTTGACAGAAGGACTAATTGGAAATGTTCTAGTGCATTCTTGCGGTCTGGAACTGTATTTAATTCTATTTTCTTGTTTTGTGGGTAACACTTTTGATTGCGGTCATTTTCACATCTCTCGTATCAGAGGAACGCAATCTTATTATTATGACAGAATCCTATTTTTGTGGACGGAAAGCAAGCGTGTACCGTACTCATGAATTTGATTTTCTACTGATAAAAGGAACTTGAAATATATAATTGTATGGAAAACCTCTGTATGTTCCAGCAATGGAGTTTTAAGTTCCAATTCACCGGCATAATTTCAGTATGCCTCCTATTAGTGTACCGTTAGCTCCCACGATTCAGTTGTCTATTCTCCTTTTTAGCTTGTCTGTGTTTCGCTCTATTATAGTCAAGAGAATTTAATGTTTGGTCAGGATGACACTCCCAGCTGATAGGTTTGTTTTTTTTTTTCCGCTGTTCTCTACAGTTTGCTGGATCCTGACCTTATGGAAATTGTGGGTGAACTTGTGAGTTTTTCTGGGAAAATTGCCCAACAATAACAAGCTTAAACCGTATACGTGGTTGTCTATCTATTAAATCAAATGTTTTGAGCTTTTTTCCTGTTTGTATCGTCTCTGTTATGTTTTTTTTTTCTTTTATGTGAAAGGAGTTGTTTGGAAACTTCTTGAAGTTTCCGCTCAGAACGGGTTTTGCGTCAAAGAACGTCTCAATTTTAGGGTTCATGTCTACTCGTTGAAGGTGTTTTTTGGGTGTTGGTTTGTTTTACCGTAAGTATGAAAAGGCAGGAGTAGAAACTTCGTTTTTGTCCGCTTAGTGTGAAATTCGCTTAATACAGGTATCACTGTAGCCTGATACGGTAAATTTATTCGTTTGACCTTTGTTAGAATTCTGTATCAGATGTTATCTTGTTGAATGTAGAATTTGTTTCCTTTAAACTGGATCCGTGATTCTTTCTGGTGGCTTCAACAAAGGAATTTTAGAGTGATCAGCATTGCAGCGTATTTCTTTCTTTTCAGGTGGATTTAAATGAAAATGAAAATAAAATGCGCTTCTTCGTACCTTTCTGACTCGCGCAAAATTCAATCATATTTGGTGAAACGAGAAGAAAGTTTGGTTCCGCGCGAATATAAAAGTCCCCCTTACCTCAGGTACCTTTTGCCCAAGAAATTATCCTCAACTTTAATTTTTCTTCCTTCGATAGTTTGCATTTTTAATTTTACTTCATTAGCTGGTTAAAACCCTGAGGTATTAAGCGTCTTCAAGAGAATTTGAGAGTCGATTTCAAGATTGTTCTTGAGCGAGTGTCAAACCAGGCAATCGAAGAAGCCCTGGTTTAGAGGCTCAGGGCGCCATGATGGCAGATGTCTCTGTCGTCAGTCATTTTGCTCTCTTGAAAAATAGCTATCGTTCTTAACAATTTTTACATCTTTTACGGCTCCGGATAAGTGTTCATTGGCGCCTTGTTGGTAAAAATTGTCAGCGCACGCCAGATATTCATTATTATGTTTCAGCAGGTGTTTTGAGTCATTATGCATAAAATACCATATCTATTCTCTTCTTTTCCTCTCCTTGTGCCAGCAATCAACCCGCTTAAGATAATTGTTTTAATTTGTTTTGGAATTGTGACAAGAGAGAGGAAAAGGAGACCAATATGAGGCGTACCTGTCTGGAATTGTAACCGCTGCTAAATGTAGTTGCCTAGTTATTAACAATTGGATATTTTTTGCGTATTGTCACCTCTAATGTCTCTGACGTTAGCCATTTTTCAAGGTCTGACAAAGGTCCATTGTTAATAACAGAGGGATTTTTTAAGGAAAATAACAGTAATGCGGAAAATAAATTTCGTGATCTCATCTCAGTGTTTTTTTTCTTTTCTTTTCTTTTTCTCAGTTATTCTATAAGTTTACGTTCGTTCTTTGATGTTTAGTTATTTTCCTGTCATTACTCCGTTTGCCTTCCACGTTTGTGCAGCTTCGAATATATCTATTTTAATTTGAATTTAATTGAGCCACGACTGGCCTTGTTCAGTGAGTAATTATAGCAGAGTTAAAATTACTCGTTGATTAGCATCTGTGTTCAGATCAGTCAGCCAATGTGAATGAACCACGGCACATGGCAGAAGAAGTAAAATTGCCTCTGGTATCGTTTTAAATGCTCAGTTGTATGAAGCTAACGAAGAATCATTATTAATCGGGTATTAAACAACCCAACGTAGTGTTCAAAGTTCCAATTACTTTTTCTCTCTGTTTTTTAGTAATCCAGCAGTCGGGGCATTCTATTCCCTCCTGCTTACGATCAAGCTCTCTTTTCGGAAAGTACGCTAAAGGTACGTAGGTGACGTGCACGAAGGCGAACGATGTAATGCATATCTCCTCGGGCCTATTAGATCTAAACTAAGTCTTTTACTTCTTGCCCTCGAGTTATCGCCCCAACAGCGCAATTTCAAATAACTTGTTCGTACTCTGCGTACGCTATTTGTGATGATAACTTTTCGACTGTTTGTTTCCATTAGGTTATTACCAGCTCTACAAGCCGTTTACCTCCCTCAGCCAGATATTTTCCTCACGGAAAAAAAAACAATCTTTCTTTATCCACGGCAGGAACGAATGAAATGGATCAGGGTCTTTGCAACAAGCTGATGGGAATCGGTCGATCATTCTTGTAGGACATGTAGTGGAGGGGGGTGGTCACTTAGGAAGGAATTCGTATTTTTCAAACTGTTTCATTAAAGATGTTATACAATAAAATTCTCGTTACTATCTTTTTTTGGTATGACTCGATGCATTTTTACAATATTTTTTTAACTTAATTCTTTTAAGTAACCGTGAATATATGAAAATCAGGCATGTGAACTGCGGATTAAGTAGTGAATGCGCGAACGATCTTCGCAGTTTTGAACCCGTGACTTCTGCAATAACGGTGCAGTGTTCTACCAACTGCGCTAACAAGCCAACTGATAGCTGTGTATTTATTTGGTTCGTAATAAACCCGTGAAGTGATGAGTAAATGACTGTGAACATATGAGATCATAGGCAGAGATCATGGGTTCAAATGCTGTACTGGCCTGAATTTTTTCAGGCCTTATTTCACTGCTGCTAAAGTAATGTTCGCACTCATATTCATATATTGACTTTGATTGCATTTGAACCTTGAACTTGCGCGAGTTAGCTGTAGTTGCAACATAAGTTGGCATCTATGGAGATGGGTTTAGTGATAATTAATACTTTGAAGCGAGCTTTAGTTAAAGTATTGAGACCAGTGCCGTGATTTGTTTTGCCTTGTTTAAAACTTCGCACGAAGAATCGATCTGGTTTAGCTTTTGAATTGAGGACATGCAATTATGTGAATCATTCCAGTTCTCTCTATATTGTAACTAGTTGAGAAGCTGGGCTGGGGTTGTAGTGCTAACTTCGAAGAACTAGGCAACAAGTGAGAGCGAGCAATTCCTTCTATCGGCGATTTAAGTTACAGTTGCGCGGTAGGATCTGGGTACGAGATAAGCCTCAACCTTTCTATTATCCACGCCCATACAGAACCGGTTAATATCACAACTGTGATACGCCGTCAGAAGTAAATTCGTTTCCAAAATGAAGAGGTCACGTAACTAGCATTGCCATGACGTTTGGTTGAATTTAGCGCGTGGAGTGAGGTAAACAAGGCAGAAGAAACAGAAGTTACAGCGAGCGCAAATTGAGATCGTTATCGCATTCTTTCCCTCCCTTCGTACGCTGCCAACGTGGGCCAATGCGAATTTTCTCATTGGAATTAAACTTCTATCACGTGGAAACTATTGAGCAATTGCCTTATTGTCGATCTCGTCCAGGAGACCTCCATGTTTCCACAGGATCTATTCGTTAAAAACGAAGGACTGCTTCTTTGTCATCAAAATCCAGGTTTCAAGACGGGAAGTTAATAAAAATTTCATGAATAATTTACCGTCGTTTCCGTTCTTTTAGCTAAATTATTCAACACACATACCCAAAATAAGCTTCCAAAATTAAACTAATAATTGAGCACTTCCAAAGGACTCTAAGATGTCAGAGACGTAAATATTACGGGTAGATATGTCCATTTATCATCCATGATTGATTTGCATAGAGACGTACAGCCTATTCCAAATTGTAAAATGCGTTAGTTTTTATCATATCAAAAAAGTGGGAAGTCCAAAGGCAAATTGCAGTGAACAAGTAGCCTAACTGAAACTTTTCAAAGTTTTCGTCTTGACAGTGGAAACCTCCAAATGGATCGAGAAGAATTCATCTTTTAATTAAGAACTTAATTTGTGGGTGAATAAGAATGATAAAGCAAGAAATTCAAATTCCAATATTGCAGTACAGTAATGAATTAATGGCGTCAATTTTTTTTTCCAGAATAAAGGAATTGTGGTGCCTCTCCCATCATCCGTATCAAAGACTTGAAATATGGCGACAAAGTTTTGCTTTTCTTTTAAGAAGTATTAATCATTTTAAATGAGAATGGTGGAAAGCATTTGCACGAAGTGGTCACAAATTAGTCTGTCCACAGAAACGAGGAAGATGCGAGGAGCGCATACGCGAAAGTGCCACCTTTTTACGTTTGCGTTTGTTTACTCCCACGCGACCCTTATTTTGTTCGCGCACTATGCGCGAGAAGAGATAATA